CCGGCCGCGTGCGTGCTGGGGCCTTCCCGACGCGGGCCGCGCCTCGCCGCCCCCAGCCTCTCTCTGCTGCGGCCCCCCCCCCCCCCCCCCCCGGTCTTCGACGACCCCCTGGGGCGTCGCGGCCGGCGCCGGCGGTCCCGCTCAAGCGCGCGGCCTCGGGGCTCCCCCGGCCCGCCGCGCCGTCGCCCCTGCCCTGCTGGGTGCCTGCTATCCCTGCTCGGCCTCGCCGGTCACTCTGGGGCAAGCCGCTCGCCCTCCTCTCGGGGTGCTCCTGGCCGTTTGGGCCCTCCTCGGCTCGTGGGCGCCGCTCGCCCGTTCGGGGTCGTCTGACACCTTGTCTCCCCCGTGCCGGGTGGGCCTCGCCGCCGCGAGTTTGGCGATGTTCCTGGCGTTCCTGGCGCCCCGCCGCCACGATGTCGGTGCTCTGCTTGGCACTGTCCTTGCCCCGCCGCCGCGGTTCCCGCCTTCGTGCTCTCCTTGCACGTAAGAGGCTCCTTCACGTTCGTGCCTCTTGACCCCCCGCTGGCGATCTGGAGTCCCCCGCTGAGCTCCTGCGCGGTTTGCCCTCCTCGACTACGTGACTGTGGTCATCGTCCCCTTCGATTGCGCGGGCGTGGTCTTCGGGAATTTGGGCTCGACTTGCCTCGCCATTTTGGCGCTGCGCGCGGGCCGGGTCCACCTCCTGGTCTCCTGCGGCATCGGCGTTTTCGGTTTGTTTTTCAGCGTCTTCTTCGCCTTCTGAGTCGAGTCGCAGCGTGGTTCGCTCGTGCGCGCTTAGTGCCTAATTTAGATCTTGGCGCGGCTGTCTCGCTTCTGGACGGCGCGCGGTTGGTCCGCGACGCTCGCGAACAAAATAGTACCCCCGCCAGCCCATTCAGACACAGATCGCCAGGCGAGTTGCCTTGATCTCGGAAGTGTAGAAGTGTGCAGTGTTAACGACCGCCTTGGAAGTGTTTTCTCGGAGGTCTCTGGGAGCCATCTTGGGTCTCTCTTGGGGTCCTCGCGGAGCAATGTGGCGCACTTTGGGGGCGCGCAGTTCAGAAAGAGGGGGTGTCCTCAATTCAGCCCCCTCCTTCGGAGGCTCAAACATGTCGTTTTGGGGTCGTTTTAGGGCGCTCTCGGGGCGCTGTTGGGGCGCTCTTCGGCGCTTCTGGGGGCCGTCATGGGGCTCTCTTGGGCCCCTCTCGGGCCGTTTTGGGGCCATCGTGACGCTTCGAGAGCCCATCGGAAGCAAAAGGGGGAGGAGGCGACAAACACTGATTTTCCGTCGGTCTGGGAGCTATTTTTGCCTCCTGCAGGTCCTTCGAAGGAACGTGCGCGCATCATTCCGCCAGTTCCGCCAATCGCCCGTCCCTTTGTTCCGTTGGGTTAACTCTGAGCGAAGCTCGTAGCGTCATTCCTCCTCCTCCTCCCGCTCCTCCAGTATACAGCGAAGACGGTGGCACAAGGACCACCTTGGGAAGGGCTAGGGTTTTCGGGCTGCTGCTGAGATTTATGTTGGGTTTCTCTCCGGGCCTACCAGAAAAGCCCCTTTCGCTCTCTCTCTCTCTCTTTTGTTGTAATCCTTATGGTAACACGATGACTGCAGTCCTCGTCCTGCTCCCCCCCGTTCTTCCCCACTCTTCTTGCGCAGTCCATTTTCCCCGCAGGATGGAGGGGAGGGTTGGGTGGGAACGGGAGGGATGAGAGCAAAACCTTGCGAGGGATAGTGGACGAGGGAGGCAAGGGGAGGGGGAGGGTCGCGCCGGAACCTTCGGCGGCGCAAAGGACCATTGGTGGATGCGCTCGACGACGCATGCGCAATCAGAGTGTTCGGGCAGCTGGCCAGCTCCGCTATCTGGGCGGGGCACGCTGGTGGACGAGCTCGAGGGTTTCGTGGGGGATCGAAGGTCGAAGGAAAGAAGGCGTAACATAATGTAAGACATTTGTGTTAAAAAAAGGGATCTCTATAATGTAAGAACGTATCGTGCTTCCAGGGCCTAAGAGAATGTAATCATATTGAGGGGCTCTAGAATGTATGGAAAGGGTTCACAAAAGGGGCTGTGATAGAGCCCCTGGGGCCCCGACGGCGCACGAAACCAACACCTTGCTCCCCCCTTCCGTTTCCCGCTCCCCATGAAGCAATGTCAGACAAAAGCACGGGACCTTCTCCCCGATGATGCTGCTTTTTGACGTCCACACGAGAGCGACACGTACCAGTACCGCGGGCGCCTCGCAAACGTGGGTGTGCCGAGTGCTCTGGGGGAGCTCGGGGAGCTCAAAGTCAGCGAGCAGGTAACGGGTTTCAGCGCAAATGGGGCTCAGCTAGAACGGAGAATCCTCCAGAATCCTGCAATGCCAGGTTTTGGCTCTGAGCCTGGTTGGGGAACCGCCCCGCAGCCTTGGAGGTGGCTCTGCATATTGACTGAGCCGGGTTTGGGAAGCCCCGAGCATTTGCAACGCAGTTTTTTCTTGAGCCGGGTTTGCGCTGAGCCAGGCTAGTCGATGCCCGACAAAGTACGTAAGGGGCACCGTGGGGATAGGCTCAGGGGGGGATGCACCGATTTCCTGTTGCCCACTCAGGCCCGCCCCGCCCTGGAACGTGCGGACTCGCTATCGGTGGCCCATCGCCGATCGATCGGCGATGTACTGCTGATTGCAGGTCAGGTCGATGTTTCCCCCGTCAGCTGGTCCCATCGTAACGTCGCCCCTGGACAAGGGGAAGGAGGGGAGTTCCTCGAGCAGAGCGGGCCGCTGCGCTCCCGCCTATGGCATTAGGGCTGCCAGGCGGGCCTCAGGCAGCGCGGGGAACTCACACGCGCCAGACATGAGCTGGCCGTGGGGTCGCGGCGACGGAGGATGACCCTTCCGCGACCCTGGCCCCCGCTCTCGCCGCCGTCGGCACTGTCGTCGAGGCAGCCAGTCAGCCGCTGTCACTCGGGGCCGCCGGGCGACCGTGCTTGGGCGGCGCCAGCGCCGCCTCCGACGCACGGCGCTTGGCGGTGGACGTGCAGAACGTCCGCGGCATTCGGGAGCATCGCGAGCCTTCGGCGGCACGCATCAGGGAACAGCAGTAGATGGAGGAGGAAGGAAGAGGAGAACGCTGGAGGAGGAGGAGGAGGAGGAGGAGGAGGAGGAGGAGGAGGAGGAGGGGGAGGAGGAGGAGTTGGAGTTGGAGTTGGAGTTCCTGGACGTAGTCCGACCAACACTCACTGACACCCCTTCTGGGCTTTACAGGCTAATTGCGCCTTGCTGTATGCCTTGGGCCACTGCCCCAAAGCAATCTCACGGAGGTATTCTCTCATGGTGGGTGTGGGTTGGTAAACGCAAGCCTTCCCGAGGCCTACGAGCTGCTAGTCCCCGTGCATCCCACAACACGGACAAACCACATCATTAACACAGCGTGGTGCCTCAGGCAGTGGGAGGGATGACATCCCAGCCAGGTGAACTGCGGCCACCTCAGGAAGTGCACGAAGGGAGCTGTCTAAAGCCGAGCAGTAGCACAGGCCTGACGTCCTCGCCTGGCACTAGGACACCGCCGGCAACTCCTTGAATGAGGCCTGTCTGAAAGCAGGACTCTTGATCAGGCGGCTCTGGTACTCTGGTCCACGGGGCGGGCATGGCTCCTCTAAGCCAAAATGTTGGCTCAGACTCATGTTGCGTCGCCGCCATCATATACAAAGCGTCCGTCTTGGTGTAGATAGGATGATCGGTATTCTTATCACATTCCCAGATACGGTGAAACTGAGACGCATCTTTCTTCTTGCACCTGGGGCAAAGTGGACAGACCTGAACTTTCGTAGCCGCCTGAGCCCTCCTGAGCCTCGGCCACAAACCACCCGCCACAACCGTTGCCAGTAGTTCGGAAAGCCTCCGTCCCCTGGGAATCTGGTCGAGCTGCCTCATGAGATGGTGGATAGAGTACACTTCCATACCTTGGTCCAAGCCTCCACCACAAAAATGACGTTCGGCGGTGGACCACAACAGCTTCTCCGACGATAGGTTAAAATCTTGGAAAAAAGTGTTGTGTCATTCAACGCCGACATATCTGAATAACCAGCTTCTGGGAAACGCCGAGGAGGAGGATGAGAAGGAGGAGGAGAAGGAGGAGGAGAAGGAGGAAGGAGGATGGGGGATGGAGGAGGAGGGGGATGGAGGAGGCCTCGGAGGAGGAGGAGGAGGACCAGTGTAAACCCAAGACCCAGCAACGATGTGGCAATAAACCCTCACTCCAAATTCCCTCTTCATAGGCCCTGTAAGGATTCATTTCCACTGAGGGAAATGCCCAGTTGGAGACAACCGTTAGAACATCCGAAACTGTGCCAAAACATCATTCTTGTGACTTCAACGCCGCGAATCACCGTTATTCTTGCGTGTTGACGATCCTTCGTGATGCCAGAACATTCCTGGGACTTCAGCACTGCGAATCAACGTGACTGTTGCGCCCAGACATTCCGACATCGTACCAAAACACAGTTTCTGTGAGGTCAGCCATTCGGATTACTGAAACTGTTGCCCGCGTTTAAGACGAATGTGCGCGGCGCTAAGGCGAGAGCCACATTTCGAAAATGAACCGCCGTCTATCCGTGAAACTGTTGTACACTTTCAAGACGAATGTGTGCGGCGCTAACGCGAGAGCCACCTTTTGAAAACCATCCGCCCTCCATTTGTGAAATTGTTGCGAGTTCTTAGCTTAAGGATCAGAACTGGGGAGAAAATCTCAGGCGAAACGCCCGGCCCGCCCTTTCGACCGGCTTCGGGGTGCGACAGGGAGGAGCTAGTCATGAGGAAAGGAAATGGAGGAGGAGGAGGAGGAGGAGGAGGAGGAGGAAGAACGCAACAGCCTCGTCGCGCATGTTTGCCTGACGCTACAGAACGGGAGGAGGATGGAGGATGCACTCGTGGGAGATGGAGGAGGAAGAGGTTGGGAAGAGCGGGCGGGGGGGGACTTCGGGGGCTCTTCACTGGAGGGGGCAGCGCCGCCGCCGCCCGCCCGCCGATCGGCCTCCCGCGCCTGGCAGGAGCCAAACGCCGAGCCGAACAAGAAGCTCGCCCAGAACAAGAACGGGCAGATCGCCTGCTGGGCGGGCAACTGGAAGGACCCCACCAGCTCACGTCTTGAAGGGATCACGACGGATGGTGTTTAGCAGTCTTCGGCCTCTGGGGACCCTCAGTGGGTCCTGGGACCAAAAACGGCTCAGGAGGGAAGTCGGCCGCGGGGAAAAGGTCCAGAGCTCTAGAGGTCCACGTTTTGAAACAACATCTCGACGACGGAGTTCTGGGGATATCGTCAGAGGAGCGAGAAGTTATTAATGATACTGACGCGTTGTAGTGTTAGTTGTTTCATGCTTTCTTCGTGTTGTTCGTCGCGGCCTCAGAGACGGCGGTCTGCTAGATACTCCAGAATTCCCGGGACTTATCCTGAACCAGCCGTGTCACGACATCTCCGCCCCAGAAACACCAGGGTCAGCTGTGGCAGGTGTCGCCCTTGTCGCCCCTCTCCGTGCAGTCTGCGGAAGGCACAGCGGCAATGGCGTCACCCGCACGCGGGCTACGATTTTTGCCTACCATGCAAGAATTGCTCCGGTTTCGGGCCGGGCAGCTCCACGCGATGCCCTCATCCAAAACAGCGGCTTTGTACTGATGTCAGGCACCTGTACTGCGTTCCCGCCGGCACAGTGCCACCCCAGCACGAATAATATCACCGAGCGCGTTCCACTACTCGCAAAATGCCTACTCGCAAACGTTCGGAAAACACATGTCTGCTTCGATGTTATTTATCGTAGATCCGCCGCGGCAGATCCAGGTCATTTGTGAGCAGTCACTTTGCGAGTAGTGGAGCGCGCTCGTCTAGAATAGTTGACGGCGACGCCAGCCCGTCGTTTTGCGGCTTCGCGCAAAATACGCCGCCGCGGGCGCAGCAGGACCTCCCCCGATGCTGCAGTGGCAGGCCGAGGCGCTCAGCACGGCCCGGGCGGCACGCCGCCTCCGCCACAAAAAGAATACACAGACACCCTCCAATGGACTGTTCCTGGGCCTGAAGGGGGGGGTGGCGGTGTATAAACAACCACTGGGAACCAGCGACTTTATACTTATGTCGGGCATGTCCCTCTACAGGAGGAATATTCAAAAATTGTCAAACAATAGTATGGGGACGACTTTTCGACTACTTGTGACCATGTTTGGAGTATCTTCGAGTTTTTTTTTTTTTTTTTTTTGTTTCTCTCTCATTTTTCGTCCAAAATCCGCCTGTAGGGGGACAGGCCCGACCTAACTCTATACGCCGCTGCCCTCCTTGAAGGTGCCTGCAGAGTTCGTGGGAGGGTGTCTGTGTATATATGTTCGTGGCGCGCCGCCATGAAGAAATCGAGGCTCGAAGTCTTGGGAGCCTTTTCTGTTGTCTTGGGCCTCCGGGCGGCTCCCCGTCGTTGTGGCCGGCTCCTCCTTGGGGAGGCCACCAGGCCCAGGGGGCGATTTTTGGGCGAACCTTCGGCAGGAGTCGAGAGCCCTAAACTTAAGTCGGGCGCGCCCCTCTACAAGTGGAAAAACTCAAAAATAGTTGAACCATAGTCCGGGGACGATTTTTTTTGCCATTTTTGAGCATCTTCGGAGCATTTTTGGACTATATCTTATTTTTCGTCTAAGATCCGCCTGTACGCTCGCATGTGCGCGCGGATTTCTTGGGCCGGCGCGGGCCCTCCCCCAGCAGTGCGGTCCCCCTGGCGGCCCCCCCCCTCCGCGCTCCGCGCGCTGGGGAGGGGTGCGGGAGTTTCTTTTCGCCGGCGTCGGGTCATAGAGGGCAGGCGTTATTCAAGAACAGTAGAACATCGTCTGGTGACGATTTTTCGTGTTTTCGTTGCTCCGTTGGATTTTTTGATGAGTAGGTGTTTCCAAAATCCGCCTGTAGGAGGACATGCCCGACCGAAGACAGGTGCCGTTTTCGGGCTCCTGGGGTCGTGGGACGGTCAAGAGAAGGGCCTGGGCATGGACCACCAGTCCCAGGGAGGAAGCCTGGGTTGTGTCCAGGATCCTCTTCCGCCAGGACCCACCCTTCCCACATAAGCGGCGAAGAGGGGGTTGAGGGCCAGAGGTGTGTGGATATCCTGGCCAGTGCCATGATCTCCCAGACTTCATGGCCCCTTCTCTTCGCTCGACACGCTCCCCGGCCCCCCCTCGTCTGCGCACATGCCTCTGGCGGCGATCCGCTAACCCCCCTCCTCCTGGCCTTCCCCCCTCTGCGGCGCACCCGAGCCCCCCGTACCAAAGGATACCTTCACGTACACCTGGCTGAAGGCGGACCCCAAGTGGGCCAAGATCGTCAAGGACGCGCAGATGGCGGATGCCCAGGCGCGAGATGGTGCCGGGTTGCCGTGCCAGCCCCTCCTTCTGCTGTCCCCTGGCCCTCGCCCTCGTTTCCCTCTTTCTCCTCCTCCTCCTCCTCCTCCTCCTCCTCCTCCTCCTCCTTGTCATCCTTCTCGTTGTCCTCCTCGTCCTCCTCCCTCCCCCTCCCCCCCTCCACCCCTCACCCCTCCTCCTCCTCCTCCTTCTCCTCCTCCTCCTCCTCCTCCACCTCCACCTTCTCCTCCTCCTCCTCCTCCTCCTACTGGCGATGATGGCCCACGAGCTGGGCGTCTCGACTTTCTCGGTCAGCAGTTGTGCGCAGGCGCTGAGAAGGGGCTCAGCTTATTATTCGAATGCGATGACGATTCCAAGTGCCAGTGGAGAGGCAGCTCGGCGATCTACCGCAAGGCCACTGTGGGAGGAACCCTCGCAGCCCAGCAGCCTGCTGGGACTGCCCACCCCAGAGCCTTGCGGACCCTGCAGCATCGGTTGGAGGACTTAGCACGCACAGTGGCGAAGCGCGGGTGTATCCCCTAGCCTCAGCGCACTATGGTTTGACAGCCGCTACTGGATTTTGTGCGAGGGCATGTGCGGCTTCGTCGGCTTACCGCTGTACTGGATGCTGAATTGATTGGTGAAGTTACTTAGCCGTCGAAGTTCCATGCCGTCTTCCTGCGCGCCGCGGCTGCCTCCCTGGCCAGCCTTGGCCAGCCTGGCATCTGTCGAAGAACGTCGACTTGGGCAGGCGCAAGGGCAAGGCTTCGTCCTATGGCCTCGGGATTGTCTGAGTGGCCGTCCCGAGCCAGTGCAGTGTTGAACGAAGCCTCGAGGGCGCCAACTCTCGCAGGTTCGCGCGGCCCTGGGGGCCTCCAGTCATGCTGATGATGTGGCAAACGTGCAGCGGGATTTCTGGAAAGATATGGGGTGGTGAACCGTCGCCAGCATCCATGGAGCCGATCAACCACGAGCTGGAGCAACTTCCAGACGTGGGTCCTCTTTTGCCGCCTCTGGGGATTCAGGATTTGAGGAAAGCTGCCGAGGCGTTTCCTGCCAGGACCGCGGTCGGGGCCGACTTGTGGCGTCCAAAACTATAGTCCCTGGTTTCCGACGGCGCCTTATCTATGATGGGGCATGTGTTTTATTTGTGCGAGGCGTGGCCATCATGGCCAAGTCGCGGCAAGTCCACGTCGTGCTACTACAGCAGCCGACGGGAAGTTATTCACCGATCGCCCTCTTGGTTTTGTGGCATCGAGTCTGGGCCAAGGCCAGAATTGATCACGCGCAGGTTTGGGCCAACAAACTAGGCCGACCTTTCTCGCACTTGACACTGAATGATCGGCGACAGACGTCGCCTCGAGAGTCTTGCTTCATGGCGAGGCCCACCTGCCTCAGAAAAAGGTGGTCAGCGATGGCGACACTTGCCTGCGCGCCATTGTTGATATCGAGAAAGGCTTCGGTCGAGTGACGTGGGCCGTCATCCTGCAAGCAGCGCTCATGCGCAGGTTTCCTGGAGCGTTGTTGCGCCTGGCTTTGCGCGTGTGCACGTATGCGGGACGCTTAGCGTGGGCTGGCGCCTTATCCGGATATCGGGGGGTCCTTTTGGGATGCAGCTTGGCCGTGTTTATTTTGCAGCTGGTTTTGTTGGCTCCAGCATATTCAATGCGTGGTAGTAAGGGGCACATCGAGCGCGCGTTGCGCGTGTGCGCTCGCGACTTGACTATCCAAGTGAAAGCAAAATACCGGCGCATCTTCGAGCGCGCGTGCTATGTGTTGGAGGGGAAGGTCGACCTGCTCGTCTCCTCTGGCTTGCCCCCCGCCAAACGCAATATGGCCGTGACGTGTGCGTGCCCCCTGGTGGCTGCGCGGGTGTGTCGTGCTCTTGGGAAGTATGGATATCGTTACTTTTCATCCTTGGGAGTCTTGGGCCTCTGAGCGTGCGTTGCGTTTCCAGAAGTTCAAGGCCAGGATTCGCACGATGAGCAGGCCTTCTCCTCGGCTCCGACGTTCGCGCGAGGCAGGGGCCCTCTCAGGTAGATCTGTCAACGCCGCAGTCTCAGCGGCGCTCAACTACGGAGTAGGGGTGCACGGTGCTCCTTCAGATTCAGACGTCGCCAGCTCCATGCGCAAAGCTATGTGCAGTGCATGTCAGGAGCCAGGGGCGGCAGGATCAGCTTGGATCTCGTTTTTCTTGCACGGAGGGCGGACACGGGGCCCGCGGATTGTGGCATGGGCTGACCCGATATATCAATGGTGTCTGTTATGTTTGGACCCTGCTCAGCGGCCGCAGGCACCAGCCATCAACATTACCAAACGGCCATGGGCGTATGTTGCGGGGCCTGCAGGGGCCACTCTCCTCGCCTTTCGGTCACTTCTCAGGGTTTCGTCATCGGCTCTCGCTGTTCGGACGAATCGTGGGGGAACTCTTGATTTACGGCGCACCTCGCCTCTCGCCGTTCGGGACATGGCTCGCGAAGGAGCCCCACGTCTTGTGTGGCAAGATATGTTGCTCGGCGTCGTCGAGATACTTCGTGTCGCATGGGCAAGCCTCCCGCGGGGTACTGGCTGGATCCCATCTTATCTTTACTGGGGAAAGCCAGGCAATAAGATTGCCCAGACAGACCCTACACATTGCCATATCGAGCGGCTGGTACACCTCGGGCTATGGTCACGGGGGGATTGCGGGCTCCTAGCAGACGCGCAGCATGTGGTTATGCCGATGTGGCGCAATGTCCGAGGTGCCCCGACCCGTCAGCCGACCTGTTTCACATTCCCTGGACATGTGCATGTAGTGAGGAAGGGCGGAATGAGCTGTTCTACGGTCATACAAGGCTGTGCTTCCCCGACCTGCCGCTACTTCCTGGCTCTGGGCGCGGGAAGTGTTAGCTAGGTCTATGTTCCCTGCTCTACCCCCCGGGACGACTCGGGCATATGGCGCTCCATGTATGGAGATTGTCAGGTGATCGCGGGGCGCGTCTTCTCGGACGGAGCTTGTCGCGAGTATCGCTACTGGCCAGAGGCTTCCCGGGCTGGATGGGGCTATGCTCAGATTGGGGATCATGGCATACCGTGGTGTGTATATTGGCTTCTGCCTGGTCCTGTGCAGACCTCCCCCAGGGCCGAGCTCTGCGCGGTGACTCATATCCTCAGGGTGGCCATGCTGCCGCTCGCCATCGACACCGACTGCTTGGATCTTCCTGCTGGCCTCGCACGAGGGTCATCGCGGGGGTGCTCACCGATGCACCCAGCCTGCGATATTGTGGTGTGAGATCTGGCGTAGGATAGAAGACTTGGGAGGTCTTGGCTCAGCGCTCCAGATTTCCACGTCTACGGGCACCAGAAGGGAATGTCCCCTGAGGTCCGAGGGAACCGTTGGGCTGATTTCGCGGCTTGCAGAGGCCGAGATATGCACGTTTTTCGGTTTCTAGCACCCGTCTCGTGAAACGACTATGTAAAGCTGCTCGCGAGACCCTGGCCTGGATGGCCAAGGCTCGCGCGACGCGCGAGGGTGAAGCGGTTGTGCTGGGCCAGGATCGGTTTGAACAGGGGCGTGCGGCTAGGCGTTCTGCTGCTGCTCACGCCACGGCTCCCCTGGATCATGGCCTCCTGCATGTCTTCTTTGAGGAGGGCGCTGAATGGTGCTGCTCAACCTGCGCTGAGACGGTGCGGTCTTTGAAGCAGCGCAAGATATTCGCGAGGCGTCGCTACCCCGCGAAGATGGCCCATGGCGCGAATCGCATCGACCAGGCCGCCCCTTCGACTGCGCTGTCTGGCCCTGTTTTGGAGGCCCAGGCCGGCGGGCCCACCCGCAGGGATGGAGAAGCTGGCCATGTTGAAGGCACGGCCGCCGATCTCGATGACACTAATGGAGGCGGAATGGGGTTTCTCTACGGTTGGGAAGGGGAGCTCCAGCAGCATTGCCAGGGCGCGAGTGGCCTGGCCAAGTGGCCGTAGGGTCAGGGCGAGACTCCAGTTTGATTCGGTCATCTCCGACACCTCCTCAGCCCCTCCCCCTGGCTTGCCCTCTTTCTCCTCTCCGTCCGATGCTGTGAGGCAGGATGTGACACCCCAAGCGGTCGAGGGCCGCGGATTCATATTACCTAACAGCGAAGACTGATAGGTTTCTAGTAGGCTCAAAAGAAAGCACCATGACGCCCCAGGGGGGTCTGGGCAGATGCCGGACGGGTGCCGGGGAGAATCCGCGGAAGTCGTTTTCAGCAATCAGTTACACACTTCGTGGTCTTCGAGGTCCCAGAACTCCATTCCCGGGCCACATTCTGAATGCCCGGAGCCAACTGTAGGCCACTTCGTGCTCTTCGAGTTCCCAGAACTCCATTCCCGGGCCACATTTTGAATGCCCGGAGCCAACTGTAGGCCTTTTCGTGGTCTTCGAGTTCCCAGAACTCCATTCCCGGGCCATATTTTGAATGCCCGGAGCCAACTGTAGGCCACTTCGTGGTCTTCGAGTTCCCAGAACCCATTCCTGGGCATGATTTTGAATGCCCGGAGCCAACTGTAGGCCACTTCGTGTTCTTCGAGTTCCCAGAACTCCATTCCCGGGCCACATTTTGAATGCTGAGGCAGGCTGATGCTGAGGCTGAGGCAGGCTGAGGCTGAGGCAGGCTGAGGCTGAGGCCGAGGCTGAAGGCAGACTGAGGCTGAGGCTGAAGCAGGCTGAGGCTGAGGCTGAGGCAGGCTGAGGCTGAGGCTGAGGCAGGCTGATGCTGAGGCAGGCTGAGGCTGAGGCTGAGGCTGATGCAGGCTGAGGCTGAGGCAGGCTGAGGCTGAGGCCGAGGCTGAAGGCAGACTGAGGCTGAGGCTGAAGCAGGCTGAGGCTGAGGCTGAGGCAGGCTGAGGCTGAGGCAGGCTGAGGCTGAGGCTGAGGCAGGCTGAGGCTGAGGCTGTGACTGCGACTGCCGTTGCCACTGCGACTGTCATCGCGAATGCGACTACGACTGCGAGAACAGCAGAATTCTACAACTGGATTCTCATCTGAATCTTAAGGGGAATGCTTCCAGATATGCTCCTACACATCGCTGTTAGGTTGCTTTGCCGGGATAATTTTGATGCTATGATCGCCGAAGAGGCGAGCTTTCTCGACGAGCGGGAGGATGGTAGAGTTTTTAGCGGGGATAGTGCCAGCATTGGTGCTGAACGACCTCGGGCTTCACGAGCTCCCATCTTTCCTGGTCGTCTCTCCTCCTCCTCCTCTTCCTCCTCCTCCTCCTCCTCCTCCACCGCTGCTCCTCCTGCTGCCCGTGCGAGGCCTCGCTCTCCTGGCTCCTCTCCTCCTAGGGTGGCTAGAGCGGGGGTGGAGGGGTCGATCCCGCCGCAGATCGGGCCCAGAGTCAGCTTCGCCCCCCGCGCCCCGCGCTCGCGGAGCGTTCGGGGACGTCATCAGGGAGTCCGAGGCCCGACTCTCCCCTGCTCCCACCTCGCCGCGCTTGTGAGAACCGTCCTACAAGGTCACAGGGGCCGACTCCCAGGGGAGGCTCGCTCGTCCCGAGCTCCAGACCTGCCTTACCTCCTCCCTCTGCTGGTGACCTCCTTCCTGTCTCTGCTCGACGGCTTCAGCTGTTCGTGGCCCCGGGTAAGGTCATGATTTGCTTGTGCTGTGGGGGGATCTGGACAGGCAAAGGCTCGTTCCTGCTTGACCCCTGCCCCCCGACGCCCTCCAAGAGGGGGGGTCCACGTCCGCGCCCGTCTGATTTGCGGCGTCACGAGGCTATTTCGAGCACCCGCAGGCTCCAGGTTTCCGATCCTGAAGTATACTGGCTGCAGCTCGGATAACTTGTCATTCGGTTTTCTCTTCCGAGCTACGCTTCTTTCATACGCTCGTTTTGCGCACGTGCCCCTTCCCTGCCGCGGTTCTTTGATGGGAAGTCGGGTGGGGGCTGTGCCGCGCGCGGGACCTTGGCCGATGGCCCGGGTCCTCCCTCGAGTGGCCGCTAGCGCGTCGCGCGACGGATCCCTCTTGCAGCCTGCGTGCTCCCCTGACCCGCCTCCTCTTGCCTCCTCTTTCCCGCCCCCGCCTCCCCGTGATCGCTGGGGCACGTGTCGGCGGCGGCGCGCCGCGGGCGCCCGTGCTGTGGCCTCGCCCCGAGCAAAAGCCAGACACGCGGCAAAGCTCCGTGAGTTGTTCGCCTGCAATCTCGAATAGGACCGAGGGTCCGAGAGCGCCCAAAGTTTTGGTTCGACGCCAGGTGTGGTGCATCAATTTCAGCTTGACTGAACAGCTTGGTTGCGCTCCTTGACGTTCGTTTGCGGTGTTCTGCAGACCCGACCCCCCGGCCATTATTCAAGACAACGGCAAAGCTCCATGAGTTGTTCGCCTGCAATCACTTGTCTTCTTTTGTTTTTGATAAAAGTGAGGCTGCGCAGTTCGCCCCTGGGGAGGTGCTCGCTGGCTCGGGGGTGCCGCCCAGCTTACCAAGCGGCTACATGATCTACGTGTTCTTTTACGCCTTGCTGTTGCTGGACAGGAGGCTGCTCGTCGTCCAGGGACTTTGGCGTGCGGCCTGTCTGACGAGAGGCCAGCGCGCGAGCAAATGTACCGGGCGCAGCTCCACTACGGAGGGCCCGCCCTCAGTACATGAGGCTTGTGGACATGTCTGCACGTGTCTACAATCCCTTTCCACGATCACGCTCTGTTTCGCATCGTTTGTGACAGTGCTATAGTAATGCTGCAGGGCATCGAACCTTGCGCGAAGTGGTTCCTGCCGAAGTGCGGCCATAGCATCTTACTCCAGGGCCTGCCACGGTGTTCGGGCGGTAGCACCTGACCACGCCAATGTAATCACCTTGTATCTGCTTTGGGGGGACGCCATCGCCACGCAGGCCCTGGTGGACCGTCGCAACGGGAGGCCAGTTGTTCTGGAGATGGCGCTGCCGCGGTCGCGGCCCTTGCAGTAGATACTGGTCAGCTCTTCCGCCGCTGCTGAGGATCAAGCCCAGGCTCGGACCTCAAACTTTACAGCGCGCTCACCGCGACTTTTTCTTTTATGATCAACCGGCCCCTCTTTATTTTCAGCGCCTTGCTCAGATTGTCGCGTCTTGCGACAGCTCCTCCAAGAGCGTGGGCGGTGAGGAGGTTTCGGGCTGGGGTTTCATGGTGTCTTTGCCCGATGCGGCTCCGACTTCGGCGGGCCCACAGGCTGACCTGATGCTTGCTACATTGGTGCGCGCAGACATTCGAACAGCGTTGGTGAGCTGAGCGCCATGATTTATGCCTTGTCTATCATCCGCGATCATGTTCTTGCATCGTCGCCTTATTCAGTTTCTATATCACATTGCGTCGAGCATGTCTCGGGGTACGCGGCCAACATAGCACGCAGACTTTCGAGAGCACGCCAGAATATCAGGCTAGCCCTGCATGTTCGGCGCCTGCTTGATGAGCTTGGTCAATGCCTAGTGTTGCAGAAGGTGGAGTCTTACAACGGACTGTTCCTGAACCGCAGGGCCGATGATCTCGCGGATCGTGGTGCGAGTGGGCTCTCCTGTGGCCTGCCAGATGTCGGGAGGTGGGCAAGCTTAGGAAGCGGATCGTCGCAAACAGAGGTCAGGCAGCCCCTGACTGCATCCATACACGCGCTTCGTCCCCCCAGGGGCTCTTCGGGTCAAAATGACTACTGTGCAGCATCGAACGGGCATCGTCGACGATGGGGCCAGAGGCGGATCGCAGAGATGCAGTGTACAATGGGGGTCTCCAAAGCAACAGCGTTTGTGGATGAGCCCCTCAGTGCATTTCTGTTGAAGCCCCTACTTATGAGGGAAGTTCTTCATGTGCTGGGGTCGATCGTCGATGCGATGCTGACGAATGCGTTCTGTCTGTCACCCTTGAAGGCGGTGGTTGCGGGAGCAAGGCTGGTCCTCACGAATCGCAGGGCGGGAAGCAAGAACATTGCCTTGATCAAGTAGTACCCCCCTAGTTCAGGGGCAACGACCGGGGGGGGGGCTGGTTCAGGGAGAGAAGCATCGGCAGCCCTCCCTAGCGTTTGTCCTTCGTTTTGGGGCTCCCAGACGCTTCGCGTCGCCACCGCTGGCTCCGCTTCGAGAATCGGGTCAGGTCAGGGCGGGCCTCGGGCATGGGTCTGGCGGCAGATTTTGACCAGATCTGGCATAAAAGGCTTGGCCAGAAGGATTTGAACGTGTTTGAGATTTGGAAAGGCGGATGCGGCACCAGTTCAGGGGAAACATCGACTACAAGTCGGGTGATTCCTCGCCGACCTGGGCCACCCCTAACCCGCCCAGGATTGTGTGCAGTTGGCGAAGCGTCGCTGATTCCAGGTCGATTCCCCCCCCCCTTGGGCCAGTCCCCCCCGTATCGTTTAGGATGCAGCTCTTGGGAAGTTCGATTCAAGATCGGCCCTGGTATATCCGTGGTCGAAAATCGACCTAATCGGGCGTGGTCCCACTCAGTCCCGCCAGCCCATCCCGCTCAATCTGGCCTAATCTGGCCTAGTCCTGGGCTCAATCTGGGCAGATCCGCTTCGGTGTCCTTTCAGTCAGGTTTAACAACCTCTGATCGCTGTTACGAGGACGTCCCAAAAGTGATCTCCTAACATGGAGCCGGCTGGGGGGCTGAGATTCCCTGGCGACGGTTCTGGCCAGCGGAAAGGGGGATACAGCCCCCCTTCGTCGCACGGCTGGACGCGGCTTGAGAAACTTTTCAGTTTCGACCCCGTGAGGGGTCCCTGGATGGAATTTGAGCGGATTCGGCCTTGTCCCGCCCCCCTCTTGACAGATTTTTTCCGGGGCCATCTAGCGCAGACCGTCTCTATCATTCCCCCTCACGGGTGCTTCCCGACGTGGAGCTGTCGCCGCGCCGCCCGCCACGGCGAACAGATACACACGAGTCGTGTGATCGTTTTCCAAAGGACCCAAGGAAACACATCGCATCGTCATCGACACCGCTGGCATCGTTGCCCACACTGCCCGCCCCATTTTCGCCGACGTCTCGGCCTCTCGATCGCTCGAGTCGTCCCCCATGCGGTACTCCTCGGCGAGGATACCATCGCCGCTCCTCCGCCAATGCGGGCAGCCTGGGCGGAGCTGTCCACCGCACGCACCCCCAGCCAGGCCCCGCCAGGCCAGGAGGCTCGGCCAAGCTTGGCGCAGGGCGCGCACGTTCGGAGCCCCGACGCACAAGGTTTTCGTTGGCTCTCGGAGGTTTCCGGACGCTCCTGGAGTTTTTCCAGCCTCGGGATGCTTTCCAGCGGCTGCGCCTCGCCGAGAGCGTTATGGGGGTGCCCAGATGATCCCGAATGGCCGCTGGAGGCCTGAGACATGGCCCGGATCCACCAGGGCTGCTTGGACGGCCTCGGGGCCTTCCCGGAGCCCTCTCGAGCGGTCTTCTGCCGTCCTCGGGGATCTTCGCGTCGTTTTGCGGCATTATCGGGCCGTCTTGGGGGGCCTTCTGACGCACTCCAGGGGTCGCTTTAGCCAGAGAATGCTTGGAAGCAAATGACGTCAGATTGTGGAATTATTTGGGCTTTGGCAGGGAGCTCCTCGAGCGTTTCCTCGGGACAACGTCTTGAGGCATTCCAAGATATTGAGGACACCTTGGCGCGACCAGATGGTCGTAAGGCTGTCTTTGTCTGGCTTTGGCCACGCAGTCTGGAGGCTTCCCTGGGGTCGAGCAGGGCGCCTGGAAGCAGAATGAGTGGAGAGGCGAATTCAAAGTATTGACGAATGACTCCCTGGCTTTCAGTTTCGAACGAGGTCGCATGCTCGTTTCTCTGTAGCGTCTGGGGCTGTTCGATGTGGCCCGCTCCATCTTGGCAGCTTCGTGTCAGCATTGCTTTCGTGGAAGATGGGTTCCAAGAGGTACAGTGTGAGGGCACGGGAGCGGCGCGGAAACGGAGCCTCGAGTATGTAAGCCGTTAACATGCAGTCGTCCAGGGGAGCATGTGATCTTTGAGTCTTTGATATCGAGCCATACTTCGGGGATTTTTCGTGTCTGTTTTGTCTTACTCAGCTGCTATGTCTCGCTATCCGCCAGCGCGTCAACGACGAGGGTGGCGACCAAAAGGAATGGGACCAACGGAATAAGATCTACGAGGACAGAGTGAAGGGTGTCTGGACACCGCCGCTGCTCCCCTTGCTATCTTTGATGCTATCGGCTCCCTTCCCTGCTATCTGTTGCGCCGCAATTGCCACCTCCCGCTGCTTCCTTCCCCCGGGTGACATACATGGCATCCCGCCACCAGATGCTGAACTGAACGGTGCGCGGCGGGGGAGGTCTTCTCTACGCGCCCACGCCTGGAAGCGTCTGAGCACTTGACACTTCGTTGCAGCCGACGAAACCAAAGTCTAATTAGCTGCCAAGCTTCATTCATTCCGTCAATACCCGAATTCATTATCTCCAGCTGCCTGCGGCAAATCCCGCCACCGTGCCTGTGCAACAGCGCAGCAGGAAGGAGGCCGAGTGTAGGAACAGCGCAATTCCGACGAGTGGTTTGAACTGAGACGTGTCGTGAACTCAATCTTCTTTTCGGCAGCGCGGTAGACATGCGGTCGATTGTAGTGGCCTCGGGCCATTGCCGCACAAGGATGGTCGCTAGCATGAGGGTGTGACGCACCAAAGTCTTAACACCCAGAGCTAGCGATCTCGCGTCCTCACAGAGTACGAGCGCTTTCTGTCCTAGTGCCGAGCCAGTTCTAACACACCCTGCGTGCGCTCCGCGTAAGCTCGCGTACGCGCCGCGTAAGCTGCGCGTAAGCGCGTAAGCCCCTCGTCATTTGGAGGCGTCTTAGGCTGTCGTAGGAGCATCCTGGACTTTCTTTGGTGCCCCAGCCCGCGTAGGCTCTGCGCAAGCTCCGCGTAAACTTTGCTTAAGCTCCCCGTATGCGCGCAAGTTCCTCGTAAGCCTAAGGTACCTCCAAGACGGCCCTAGAGGCCGCCAAGACGTCTCAGGCTAGGAGGAGGCTCCCCAAAGGCCTGAGGAGGCATAATAACACTCCAGAAGGCCTGAGGAGGCTATGAAGAGCGCTCCAGGAAGACGGTCCAAGATGGCCCACGAGCATTCCAACAGGCTCCGAGACGGCCCAAGGGCGCTCCAATACAGTACAAGATGGCCCAAGGTCGCTCCCAGACAGTCCAATAGCGCTCCTAAACGTTCGGAGACGTCCCAAGGGCGCTCCAAAGACAACCTGAGGCGGCCCCAAGACGGCCCAAGAGAGCTCTAACTGATGGCCCAAGGATGGCCCAAGAGTGCCCCCAAAGACTCACCCAGCAGCCCAGAACACGGCAAACAAGGGCCACAACTTGACACTCCAGTCAAGAAATCAGGAGAAGGGACAAACATGATATGATGACATATGGGCCATATGGGCGAGGGGAAGATGAAACACAAGAGGAGGAACAACGGATAAACCAGCGATCTCTTGCGCTCTTGCGGTCCCCGTGCTAGGCAGGTTCTAACACACCCACTGGGTACAAGGCCCGGTGGCGGATTCTCCTTCCCCCTTCCCCTCGTCGTCGTCCTCGTCCTCGTCCTCCCTGCGTTGTGAGCCTGACGCCGCCTTGCACTTCGGTTGCAGGCGAGGACGATGACGGGGACGAGGAACAATACGAGCAGCAGATGAGTACGATGATGGTAATGGCCTCCGGTCAATGCCGCCGATCCAGGGGGTGTTGGATATTTGTGCGGATCGGGCATGTGCAGGCGGCAGCGGGCTCCTCCTTTCTCGCCCTTCTTTCTTACCCCGCCCGCTTTCTCCCCCTTTTTCCCGACCCTCCCTTGGTTGGGTTCTCGCTCGTTTTGAATGGAGCATTGGGGTGCCGACTCCCTTCTCCTTCTCCTTCTCGTTCTCCTCCCGCGCCCCCCCGCTCTCCTGTCGGCTCTCTCCTCTCGCATCCCTCTTGGGGGCTGCGAAGTGTCAAACTGTCGCCGATTCCGAGGGCTCTTGGGGGGGCCAGCACAATGGAGTCCCACGCAGACCCAAACGGGACCTCGCCGCCATCCTTGGGAGGGCTGCGAAGTGTGAAAGTGTCGCCACTTTCGAGGGCTGCTTGGGGGGGCAGCACAGTGGGGTCCCACGCAGATCCCCAAATGACCTCGCCATCCCTGGGGGGGCTGCGAAGTGAAACTGTTTCCACTTTCGAGGGCTGGTGGCGCGCCTGCGCGCATTTGGTGTTCGCACTAAGTGGTGCAGGGAGGAAACGGAGAGGCTGGTGGGCGAGCTAGGTCTTGTTCGTTTTGTTTTGCGCTGCGACAGCGCGGAGCTCTGGCCGCGCAGGTGTTGAGCATTCTGGCCTGGGAAAACGCGGCATTTCATTGTGTGGTTGCCTCTCTGCCTCTGTAGCCTTATTTTGCCCATGCTCCATCATCCCGCTGCTTCTGGCGAGGTGATTGTTATTTAATCGCTTCGCTCATTCCGCCGGCCCGTATGGGAGCTTCTTGGGGGCCTCGTGAGGGCCTTTAAGGGGACTCCTCGGGCTTCTTAGGGGCCTCTTGGCGCCTTCTGGGGGCTTCTTAGGGCCGAGGGCTCGAAATGTTGTTTCGTGTTCCCCCTTCTGGGCCTTCTCTTAGAGCGTTCTTGGGGCCCTCTTGGGCCGTCCTGGACGCCTCTTGGGCCGTCTTGGAACCCGCTTGGGCCGTCTTGGGGCCCTGTCGGAGGCCTCTCGGGCCTCTTAGGGCGATCGTGGGGGCCTCTTGGGCCGTCTTGGGGCGTCGCGATGCCGAAAAGGTGGAAACACCAAACTCTTCCCAAAACCTCAGGACAAGCAATACATTTTCCTCTTGGGGCCCTCTTGGGAATTCTCTTGAAAGCTTCGTGGGGCGTCTGGGGGCTACCTTGAGCGTCTTGGAGCAATCTTGTGGCATCTCGGACCCTTGGTGACTTGGTGTACCATCTTGGGGGCCTCTTGGGCGCTCTTGGCTCTTCTTGGGGCTCTCTCTTGGCCCTTCTTGGGGCTCTCCGGGACGTTTCGGGGCCCTGTTGGTGCGCTCCTGGAGCGCTGTGGGGGCTTCTCCCGGGACCTTGCCGGGGTATTTTCCGTCCGGGGACCTCCTGGGGCCGCCCCGCGCGCGCGAACTAGAAATACTGTGAACCAGTTGCCAGAGTTCTTAGCACGTCTCTGGTCCGTTGGGCCGGCGAATTTCACCCCGATGTGTTCTTTTTGCTTTTTCCGTCACCACACTGCCGCCTGACATGTTGTACTTCTGTTCTGCGAGTCGGCCACGCACAGTTCGTACGACATTGATATCCGCCGTGCGCCGTCTCTTGCAGCGTTGCTGTCACGGTCTTGTCGGCACATCTTATATCATCCCTTGGGGCCGATGCGTTGGGTACGTCACAGGGTAATTCTGTTTGTCCCAACCCTCCCTTGGTTGGGTTCTCGTTTTGAATCGGGCAGTGGGGTCGCCAACTCCCTTATCCTTCCCCTCCCGCCCCCTGTCCCCCTCTCGCCTGCCTGCGCCTGTCTGCGCCTGCTTGCTGGGGGAGCCAGTTCTGTCCCCTCTCGCCTGCCCGCTGGGGGAGCCCGCACAGTCAGATCCCACGCAGGCCCAAACGGGACCTTGCCATCCCTGCGGGGGCTGCGACGTGTGAAAGTGTCGCCATTTTCGGGGGCTGCTGGGGGGGCCAGCGCAATGGGGCCCCACGCGAACCCACCTGGGACCTCGCCATCCCTGAGGCGGATGCGAACTGTGAAATTGCCGCTACTTTCCAGGGCTGCTGGGGGGGCAACACAGTGGGACCCCACGCAGACCCAAACGGGACTTCGCCATCCCAGACGGAGGTTTACGGAGTAGGTCGAATGTCGCCACTCCCGAGGGCTGCTGGGCGTGGCCAGCACAGTGGGGCCCCACGCAAATCCCAAAATTACCTCGCCATCTCAGGGGGTTTCCGAAGCGTGGAACTGTGGCCACATTCGACGGCTGCTGGGGGGAGCCAGCACAGAGGGGCCCCACGCAGACCCAAACGGCACCTCGCCATAGGGGAGCTTACGAAGCGTGAAGCTGTCGCCACTTTGGAGGGCCCCCTGGGGGGGCCAGCACAGAGGGGCCCCACGCAGACCCAAACAGGACCTCTCCATCTTTGGTAGTTGCGAAATGTGAAACGGCCGCATCTTTCGAGGGTTGCTGGGGGAGCCTGGGTCCCACGCAGATCCCAAACTGACCTCGCCATCCCTGGGGGCTTACGAAGCGTGACGCTGACGCCACTTTCGAGGGATGCTGGGGGAGCCAGCACGTTGGGGCCCCATGCAGACCCAAACGGGACTTCGCCATCCCAGGGGGGGTTACGGAGTGTGTATCTGCCGCCATTTTCGAGGGCTCTTGGGGGGGGGGGGGGCAGCACTGAGGTTCCACGCGAACCCGAATGGGACCTCGCCATTCCTGGGGGGCTGCGAAGCGTCAAGCGGTCGCGTCTTTCGAGGGCTGCTGGGGGAGCCAGCACAGGGGCCCCACGCAGACCCAAACGGGACTTCGCTTTCCCTGGGGGGGTGGGCTGCGATGCGTGAAAGTGTCGCTACTTTCGAGGGCTGCTGGACGGTGCGGCACAGTGGGGCCCCACGCGTATCCAGCCTGGACCTCGCTATCCCTGGGGGGCTGCGGAGCGTGTAGCTGTTGGCATTTTCGGGGGCTGCTTTGGGGGTTAGTGCAGTGGGGTCCCACGCAGATCCCAAAAAGACCTTGTCATCATCTCGCTGTTTCTGCCGAGGTGATAAATTTTCCGACCCGATGTTTTTCTGTTGCTTCTCCTTCACAGTACAATGCCCTCTGGCCGTTGTACCTCTGTTCTGCGGGTCGGCCACGCACAGTTCGCACGACATAGATGTCCGCCGTGCGCCGTCTCTTGCAGCGTTTCTGTCACGTGATTGTCGGCACACTGTATTTCAGCCCTATTGGGCGCCGTTTTTGGGCCTCTTGGGGCGTCTTTGGGGCCTCATGGGTGTCTCTTGGAGGCTCTTGGGAGCCTCTTGGGCTCTCGAGGGGGTATCTTTGGGCGGAAGGCAGGAATTATCCATTGAACTTCCCTTCAGGAGGCTTTCCTTAGCCGTCTTGGGTGCCGATTGGGCGGTTTCGGGACTCTTGCGGCGTCTTGGGGCAGTGTTCGGGGGTTTCTGATACAGTCTTGGAAACTTGTTGGGGCGTCTTCGACGTCGTGAGAACCGAGAAGTCGGACATGCTAGGCATGTCGGTTTGCCAAAAGAAATCAAATTGTTTTTGCTTCTCGGCGCCCTCTTTGGGGTGCTCATGGGGCCTTTTTGGACGTCTTGATCACTTCTGCGGCCGACTGGAGGCTATCTTGGGCGGGCCCCCCCGAGAAAGCGGAGCAAAGCGGAACACAGGCGCAGCAGGGGGTCCCCCCGCCCTTCCCCTGCAGAGCCACCCCGGCAACCCACCCCAGCAGAGCTGAAACTCAGGCTCTAGGCTGTAGCGTAGGCTATTTGAACCTCACACGCCAGAGCGGTGGATTTTGGAGGAGGATGAGGAGGATGATGACTATGACTATGACTATGACGATGACGATGGCGATGACGATGATGACGACGATGATGATTACGATGATGATATGCTGACGATGAACACGGCGGTGGAAACGATGATGATGGTGAGAGCGACGACGACGATGACGATGATATGGATGATGATGATGATGATGATGATGATGATGATGATGATGATGCTGCTGCTGCTGATGATGATGAAGGTGATGACGATGACAATGACGATGACGATAGCGGTGATGATGATGATGCTGGTGATTTTGATGGCGATGAGGCTGATGCTGATTCTGATGATGATGCTGATGCTGATGCTGTTGATGATTATGATGCTGATGATGACGGCTCCATTGATGACGAAGTTGATGTTGATGCTGTTGATGATGCTGATGATGATGATGATGGCGCTGGTGATGATGGTGAGGGTGATTTTAATTGTGATGGTGGTGGTCATGACGATGATGACGATGATGATGATGATGATGATGATGATGACGATGATGGCGATGGCGATGATGATGATTATGATCATGATAATGATCCTGATCATACTGCTGATGATGCTGCTGATGCTGCTAATGATGATGATGATGTTGCTGCTGGTGGTGGTGATGATGTTGATGATGATGATGCTGACGATGCTGATTCTGACGATGGTCATGACGATGACATTGACGATGATGATGCTGATGCTGCTGCTGATGATGCTGATTTTGGTGACGATGCTGATGATGTTGATGATGATGATGATGATGATGCTTCTGATGATGGTGATGGCGATGATGCTGATGATGCTGATGATACTGATTATGATCATGATCCTGATGATGCTGCTGCTGATGATGATGATGATGATGATGATGGTGGTGGTGGTGGTGGTGTTGATGATGAGACGGACTCTGAGCTGAGGCTACGGAGGATGATGCTGATGATGCTGCTGCTGCTGATGATGATGATGGTGATGATGATGATGATGATGATGATGATGATGATGATGATGATGATGATGATGAGGATGAGGATGAGGATGAGGATGAGGATGATGATGATGATGATGATGATGCTGATGCTGATGATGATGATGATGATGATGATGATGATGATGATGATGACGATGCTGATGCTGATGATGATGATGATGATGATGATGATGATGATGATGATGACGACGATTGTCATGTTAATGTTGATGATGATGTTGTTGCTGTTGATGATGGTATTGATGACGCTGCCGAGGATGACGGTGGTTATGATGTGTGTATGCAGATGGGTTGAAACACAACGTATGTTGAGGATGCTGTTGGATATGCTGATGATGGTGATGATGGTGATGCTGCTGCAGCTGATGAAGAAGAAACATAATGAGAGGAGGAGGAGGAGAGGAGGAGGAGGAGGAGAAGGAGGAGAAGGAGGAGGAGGAGGTGAGCATGAGCAGACGATACATATGATGATGCTGGGGCGAGAACGAGGACGAGGACGCAGGACGAAGACGGATATTTGGGAGGGCGAGATCGAGAGCGGGGACGAGCAAGGGAGTCGGCCAGGCGGCGAGGGGAGTCGAGGAAGAAGAGGAGGTTGGCGGGAGACGGGGAGGGGACGATGTTGGGAAGGGGGGAGCAGTGAGAGGGGAAGCGAAGCTTGCCGCGTTCTCGGCTGCCGAGGGAGCCCAAGAAGGGGGGCTGCACCATCGGCCTGAACATGGACCAGTGGCCGAAGATCCAGCAGGGCACGGTGCGCTGCCCTCTGGGCCCCTGGGGGGAGGTTCGAGATGCGGGGCTCGAGGCTTTCAGAGACTCTCGTCGGCCCCCGGCGGTTTGCCAGTCCCGGGGTGCGTTCCGGCGGCTGCGCCTTGCTGAGAGTGTTTTGGGGGTGCTTGGGGTCGTCTCGAGCGGCCGTTGGAGAGGGGTTCCGACCCGACGGCCACATCGAGAGCCTTTCTGCTCTTTCGCTCGCCCGTTCGCTCGCCCTCTTCCCCCGGTCCGGCCCAGCGCCACGGCGGGCTCACGCCGCGCTGGCTGGGCAGCGGCCCCATCGTGGGCTGTTCAGGGTGGATTGCCGTCAGGGGCCTGGCGGCTGCCGACGTCGAGCGATCTGCGCTTTCGAGAAGCCGCGATCGTTTGTTTCAAGAGGGCGGCCGATCCACGCTGCGTCAGGGGCCAGGGTGAAAGCCATCACGATACGAGATGACGTTCGCGTCTTCGCGCGCCAGGGCTCGGCTTGACAGGATCTATTGCAAGCAGCATGTCGTGGAGCAGCTTGACCGCGAGTTCCAAACGGTCGCTCTCGAGTGGAAACCCCAGCTATCATATCACCGGGCGGTCCTTTTTCTCTCGTCGTCTTCCACGGAGTCTACTCGAACGTGATCGGCCCCTCACCGACGACCAGGTGCACCACGAGGATTTCGACAGGCAGACGCGCCTCGAGTTCCACCACAGGGTGGCGGAGCGCCCCGACGCTTCGAGCCTCCAGAAACTGCAGATGCTGAAGGACGTCATGAAGCATGCCGTGCAGCACGTGACACCCCTCCCGGGGTCTGTGTTCGAGGCCGTTAGCTTGGGGGACCAGTTGGGGGTGACCATGCGCTTCCTCTGGGCGGCCGACTCGAGTGCTATGGGCGTGCTTTGCCAATGTATGACTCGATATCCGCGCCTCCGGGATCTCCTCCCGAATCCGTACGACACCCGATTTTACACCACGTGCGGCTCGCAACCTGTGCGCGACCATGCGGTAGAGCTTGCCCGGGAAAACAACCTGGACGAGCTCGGCATGGCTGGCCCACGAGGAGGTCAAGGAGGGCGAGGAAACGGTGGCAATCAGACGGGGGCGACGGGCGCAGTAGTTGCTGTACCGGCTGCTCCCAGGGCAGGTCGGAGGCATTCGGGCGGTCCGTGCGGCCTTTGGGAAGTATTTGACACATCCTTCTGCCATGGCGCAGGCGCTCGGGGACCACTGGGGTCAGGTCTTCAATGCCCGAGGCGTGAGTCGCACCTGTTGGCACGATGGCTGGAGGACGATGCGGCCCACCGTGCTCTTCACGGTCCTCGGCACGATGAGCTTCACCAGGTGCGTCTTCGAAAACGTCATGTCCGACGAGCTATCCAGACGTCCAATAATTCATCGCCAGGTCCAGACGGTATCCCTTATGCCGCCTGGCGCCGGGTGGAAGACTTGGCTGTCGACGTGGTCTTCGACGCTTTCCAGGCGCTCTGCGAGGACGGCACTCCAGGCTGGCTCGAGGAGGTGGCCCCGAGTTTCAACGAGAGCCTCTTCAGCTTCCTGCCGAAAAAAGGCGAGCGGCACGACGTGCGACGGCGAGGAACTCTTCGACCAGGGCGGCGCGCGTCCTTTATCTATCACTAATACAGACAACAGGCTTTTGGCCAGCGCATGCCGGCTGCTCATTAAGCTGGCGCTGGAAAAGTTCATCACCGGCGAGCAACGCGGATTTCTACAAGGACGTTCCATGCTGAGCGACGTAGCGTGACCGACGTGGACGAAGCCATGCTCCAAGCAGCAAGGGAAGGTGAATGAGGCCTGGCCTTGTTCTTCGACTTCGCCGCGGCTTTCAATAGAGCGCGCCCTGTTCTTGAACTTCTTTCGCAGTCTGGGATTGCCGCCGTGACTCTTGATCCTCATCACCGCCCTCTACCGGAACAACCATTGCGAGGTGAGTCTCCTGGGGCCCACTTCCCTGGGTTCTCCCTGACACAGGGGATTCGGCAAGGGTGCCCCCTGCCCCCTCTGCTTTTACACTGCGTGCTCGGACTTGCTGCTAAGGAGGATGGCGCGGCACTTCCCCACTCTGCCGTCACGAGAGCATTTGCGGATGATCTCGCCATGCTGCTGCCAACAACGGCGCAGCATTTGAACAGCCTGGAGGTCGTTTTCGAGGAATTGATGTTGATTCCGGTGTTGAAGCGGAACGTCGCCAAGACGGTGCTTGTTCTTTCGGACCCGCTGGAGTCGGACGGGGTGCATGCCATGTTAGCTGCGCAAGCCCCTGGCTGGGCTGGCATGGCCATCGCGGAGGCGGCGAAGTACCTGTGAGTGTCTGGGCGCTGGGCGCATCACCTGTCCTGGGAGGCCCCTCTCCAGAAGTATCTTGACCGCGCCAGCCAGTGGAGGAGGATCGGGTCGGGGATGCTTTTGACCATGAAGGCCTATAGGGTATACATTATTTCGGTGCTGCTCCACGTCGGCCAGTTGGACCCCCTCCTCCGACCCTCGCCGTGGCGGAGGCTTCGGCTGGTCGTCGACTTTTTCGTTGGCCGTTTGATTGGGTCACGGCAGACGCCTTGAAGGATCTCGTCAGTGCCGGGTTCCCCGCGGAGCTCCCCGACTTGCTTGGCACGAGCGTGGTTCACTTCGAGGATGGAGGTTCGCTCCAGGTTCAGACACGGGCCCGGGCGGGCGGCAGCTTTACAGCCGTTCTTCGCCCGTTTTTTTTGCAGCGGCCCGGTTGACTGCAAGTTTGGCGAGGCAAGAGCTTCCTCCTACATCTTGACGACGCCGCGGACCAAGTTCGTGAACTTCGTCGGTAGAGCCTCGGTGATTTGCGTTGGGGCGCGCGAGCGGGATGGCAGCGACACGCCGCGCAACGCTTGAAGTTGCAGCGAGCGGGTTCGGCCGGCGCCTGGGGCCGCGCCATGCCCCACAGAAAGCTCAGTTTCTGGGCCATCCAGCTATTCCCACGGCCTCGCTTCGAATGCGCTCTCAGAACGCTGCGGCGCTTTGGGCGCACCTGCCATCCACGAGTGTGGTCCGCCGCTTTCCGCCTTTGGTGCAACGGTTGGTGCTTTAGTTCGCGCTTTGGCGGTTGCGGGCGCTGCCGCTTCGGATGCCGCAGGTGCGACGACACAATCGCGCGCCTAATGTCCAGTGGCGCGGCGCCTTCCGGGCGACGTCCAGCTCACAGGGGCATGGGTCTGGAAGTTTCCTCAACCTTGGTGTTCCGCGGCCGAGCGAGGAGACCACGCAGTAGTGGGCCCTAATTAGGCATTTAAGGGATGTACCGGATGCACGAGCATTCAAAGAGTTCGTGCGTGAGGGACAGCGGGGCACTGAGCCGCCAGAGTCCGAGTGAACGGTGCCGCTTGTCTGCTTTTTCCCATCCCTTGCCTCTTGCATTCGGCATCGCTCAGTATGCACATTTTCTCTTCCCTCCTCCTCCTCCTCCTCCTCCTCCTCCTCCTCCTCTGGGCGCCAGAATAGAATGCGTTCCTTTGTGCGTCTCCCGGAAGGGGTGCTCTAGGGCCCGCCTGGGCGCAAATGTCGCCCCAGTCTGCTAAAGTTTGCGGTGTGCCTCGCACCTAGGGCCTGCTCGCCTGATTTGCGGCATGCTTAGGCATGGAGTTGTCCAGCTTGTGCAATAACTCACGGAGCTCGCGGCGTGGTTTTAATTCCTCTTCTTCCTCCTCCTCCTTCTGCTTCTCTCCTTCCGCCTCCTCGGGGCCGTAACCGTCGATGTCCTGCGTTGTTTGTGCTGCGTTGGTCATGTGGGCGCCCAGACTGGCAGGCAGTCGGGCGATGACCGCCGAGGCCAATACATCTGTACTAGCGCTTGTTTTTCCAATCCCTTGATGCGCGCGACGGCTCGCCTATGGCAGGATGGCTTGAACGCCGCTCCTGGCTTTGCGTGAATTCTCTCGCCTTTCCCCTCCTCCCCCTCCTCCTCCTCCTCCTCCTCTTCCTCCTCCTCCTCCTCCGCCTCGTCCTCCTCCTCCCTCTCCCCATGCGCGGAAATACCTGGGCAGAAATTGGCATTGTGCAGACTTCGAGCAGCTGTCAGTCGGCCCGAGCTCGACGTTCGCGGTCATGGTGCGTTCTCCGAAGCAGTGGCGGGAATATGTCCCACACGCTCGGGTCGGAAGAGAACGGTTTTCTCGCTCGTTCCGTACCTCGCCGGCTTCGAGAACAAAGAACACAACACGACACGAGGCAGCAACACCCCGCCTTCCAAAGTCCCCTGGACGTCCCCACGCAGGTCCGTGGATGCACCTGCCTTCCTGGCTGGCTGATGCGTGTGGATCCAGCCGGCCAGTTTTGCCAAGCGGGCGGAACGTCAATGCACAATTAGACAGATGGTCATGAAGCAGCACAGGACGAGAGCGCACATTTTTTAAATTAAAAAAGAAGAAGAAAAGAAACATGGGAAAACGTTTTTGGCGGAAGTGGGATTCCCGATTGGCGAGAGCGCGATTCTTGAACGTGTTCCGAGGAAGTCCCGAGCGAAGGCGCGATTCCTTAGCGGCGATACCGCGTTCGTACATTTTGAGGATGTCGTAGGCGGGGGCGCGATTCTGCAGTAGATTGCAAGGGCGTCACTGGCGAGAGCACCCTTCCGGAATAAACCGTAATGAAATCTCACGTGGGAGTCGCTGTTGTTGTTGTTGTTGTTGTTGCTGTTGTTCGGTAAGGCGTTGACACTGGCCCCTGTTTGTTGTTGACATTCATTTCTTTTCTCAAAACTCAAGTGCTTATCTTTAAGGGTACGCAAAGCTCCAGCAACCGAGGGCTTGCCCCACGGGGCCGGAGAAGGGGTTGACACTGGGGCGGCAGCGCAAAATGGTCCACGGGGCCGGAGAAGGGGTCGGCATTCCTGGCGCGTTTCCAGAGGTTTCCCCAGGATTTTCGCGCATCCCTGAGGATTTGGGTACGTCGGGGGTTCTACTGGGCCGATTATTGCATAACGCCCAACGGATGGGCCCACAAGGCGTGCAGTACATTAGCCGCTGCAACTTTTACTTGATGTGCGCTCTCGGGCGTCAATTTCAAAATGGCGCAGCGCGTCGCTGTATACGTGTACGAGTTGCGCCAAACTGGCCGTGTATACAATACCAACAGTAGAGTCAAGAAGAAACACAGGAGCACGCCGTGCAACGTGCCAGGTGAACGAATGGAGAAGGCAATGCAAATCTCAAGCTCGACGAATGTGCGTGCGCTTGTGTGTAGTACCCACGGTTGGCACTTGGCATTGTAGTCTATACGTGCGTGTGGTATGCGTGTGTGATGTAGGTGAGCCTGCCTGATTGCACCTGTGGTTTACATGCTGTATGTATGAGTGTGAGTGACAGGGTATATCACCTGTATGTATTAATCGTGCTTCAGTTGTCTGATTCGCCTGGGTGCCACTACAAGACCTGGAATGTACCTGGTGGAAGGGGGATGGGGGAGGGGTTCGGGAAGGTGATGCGCGTGGCATGGCTTCCCTTTGTCAATATAGGGTTGCCCCCGCCCTTCTGAAATTCGGTGAGAAACGAAACGAGGCATCTAAAGTTTCGGGGGTGAGACTACATCAAACGTGGACGTGCCTAGGGGACTTTCTATAGTGCACTCTGCATTCAACTTCGGGGGCCTAAGCGTGAAACATAATCGGGGTTGCCCAATGCGCTGATGTCATGTACTGGTCCCTGCCTCCTCCTTCCATTCTCCAGCACCAAAGCCATTGGGGCTGCTTTCCATATGATCAGATGAAAAGAATCCAGCTTTCAATAGCCGTTCTGTATCTGTCCATGTGTTGCTTCTGCCTCGGCGAAGCGTCCATGAATGCACAACTGGAGTTGGATGACACCCCGCCACTGGTTGTATCGGCGCCACCAGCAAACGACGATGAGTCTCCTCACGACAGAGTGCAGCACGTCGCTTCAGCTCCTGAGCACATGGCCGCGACTACGACGAGGGTGAATATCACGTCTGCGGTGGGTGAAGCTTGCCAGCACGTCTGCGACAATCAGGGTCAGGATGTTGTGGCCAAGAGGACCGCATCTGATCAGCCGAAGTTCGCCTGTAGGAGTGCAGACCATATCAGACACGCCAGGGAAACCATATGGAAAAAGGATCCGAAATGAAAGACAGGAGCGACAGGATCGGGAATTGGTTTCAGCACAAGCTTCCTCCAGCTCGCCTCGTGCATGGTTCCAGACATGACGAATCTGTTTGGACAGAAAGCAACGCACATCGTTAGAATGAAAAACACACGAGTTGGTACCAAGCGACTGTTTGATTGTATGTCGTGGCGCCTTCGTCCACCCTGCTTCGAACACCAACTTGGGCATTAAGCATAACCGTGTCATCGCTGCCGCCGCTGAACGGATAGAGGCCCGCCAATACATGATGTGGAGCAACAGGATGAGCGTTGGCAGTGACATTATCAATATAAATCCCGAGTATCGAGTTTACTGCACGTTCGCGCACCTGTGGGGTGAGACTCGTTCAAAGTTCCGACGGTACCAAGAGGTTGGTCGATCTTCTCGCATGGGAGTGTGGCTCCAGACGATGGCACAACGCCTTTTTTTTTTTTTGGGGGGGGGGGGGGGTAGACACATATTGTTGTTTTATAAAACACGCGGTCACAGAGGTGGCCACTGGGATGAACATTGTTTCGGACGGGGTCTTTTTTTGAGAAACCTATGGAGGCTGACGGTTCAAGTGCGATTGCAATGATGCCAGGTATCGAGCGGATGCTGCCACCTGGCTTCAATTATCGAAACCTGACTATGAATTTCACGTTGCAGAGTTGTCATCACGCCACGTTAATGCCATTGTGTGACAAGGCCTCAGGGAACATCAGCATATTTAAGCTCTGGGGTCTGGAGTGGGAGTCCCTCGAGGATACGCTTCGGGACAACGTTGATTGCAAGCGTGCTCTTTACTGACCAGATTGCTGCGGTGTTCACCTTCATCCTCGTGGCAAGTTGTCGGTCAAAGCTTTGCGTGAGCACGCGATGCGGGCCTGCAGCGTTGCAAATTTGTATCGGCTTCCAGATGTGCGCACGAGAATGCTGTCAGCCTTTGAGCTGCACGTTCGCCGCAGGGTAAAGCGACATATCGGGTCACCACCACCGTCTTCTGGGAATGATCTGCGTGCGTTCGCGAACGTCGTTTGCGACGTGGAGGCGCAGTGCCGCGGGCGAGGTCACAATGAGATCAAGCACTCGCAGTACTAAAGCGGCACCGTCGAGCTGTGCACGATGGTGAACGGGAAGCTCGGCGCTGGCGATGAGTGGGTTCACCATTGTTGGGATTCTGAACTTATGAGCCCTGCTGCCCAAACGGTGAGGACTGCAATGCCAAGTCCGTGGTTGCGTGCATGAACGCATTCTTCGGCAAGACGGATCCAATTCCTGACGAGAGTCGATGGACGCACGTGCGACCAACTTTTTCGAATGCTATGTTTGTGACGCGTGGTGCACAGCGTCGGCTTCGAATGCTTAGCGCGCTGCCTTCGGCAGGGCCCCCCAGGGCATCGAAGAGGGGGACGCCTGTTGCCAATGGTGCTGCAGCTGTCGGCCTCAAAGATGGCAACCCTCGCGACGGAGTGGCCCGGAAGTTTGACGCCAGCCTTGTCAACGAGTATACCATTACAGAGCGATTTCTGAGTGGTCAATTGTACAGCAGTGTAGGTCGAATTCAGAATACGATGAGCAGCTACGTGGATGGACTGACGAAGCTGGCTTGGTCGGCAGACTTCAAGGCGCAGACGGCTCGAGCGTTGCAGAGGCGCCTCAACGGACGCGCGGCGGAGATCCAGCAGCAGGCCAACGTGGGCGCCAAGACGTCCTGCGCACAGTTTGGACATCGCGTCCAAGGTCTCATCGACGTCTACAAGATATTCAAGTCGTGGTTCGATGATGATTCCGACTCAGCTCTGGTTCCAGCCGCGACAAGATTCAAGGGTAATTTGTTGCCGTGCTTGCGCCGTGCCAAGAAGGAGCTTGCGACTGACTTCCAGATCGTGTACGCCGTCGCGGGATTCTATGGCAGGGTGGTGAACGACGGCGCCCCCGTCGATCAGGCAATCGCATCGGTGGACTTCAAGCTGCTGTGCGAATGCCATCAGACGTGCATGGCGGGCCCGACGCTACAGATGGGGCGCCCTGCCTCTGCCGCTGCCCCCGTCCAACAACCTGTTGTCAAAGCAGAGCCGGCTGGTGGGGATGGGGATGCGTCAACTGCCATTGACCAGGGGGTGGGGTCGCAGAAGCGCAGGACGTTCATCTTGCCGAAGAGCCTGGTCGCCGATCGCGTCGCGATGCCGCCCCTCGCGCAGTTCGAGAAGATGGCGAGCGACGCTGCAGCGCAGTGGCTATTCAGCGCGCTGCCCGACGCCACGGAGACAAACGACAAGGCGCACTCTGTATGGCCCGCCGTTCAGAGCATGATCGAGACGTGGAAGGGGAAAGTCTAGCCTGATGCGCAGGACCACTTCCACCACTTCCTTGAGGCCTGCAGCTTCTGCGTGCAGTGCGCACCCCTGGGCAAGCAGAGGCCCAGCGTTGGTCTCGCGAGGTGGGCCAGGGGCTATGCGATCAACGCGTGTTCGAAAGATATTTTCCCACCGAATTTGCGGAAGCGGTGTGCAGCCGCGCAGCTGGCGTTGCGTTCGTGGACGCAGCCCTCGCCCATGCCCAGATTGGCGTGGAAGACGCGGCTGCCACGAGCGGTTTCGAGTGTTCCGTTGGCGGATTCGAGGCGGTCCCCGATCCAGTTTTCGAGGGCGTCGCTGCTTGGCTGCAGACGGGGCGCAAGGGGAAGCCCGTGAGCATCGACAGCTTCGGCGAGTGCATGGAGGCATGCCAGACGATGGCAGTCGCCTGCAGCCGGGCTCTCCAGCGCTGGTCTACGAGCGCCCTGACCGAGCAGATCCATGCCTTGGCGAGCTTTGGGCGTAGAAAAAGTGACAAACCAACATCCTCATTCGTAGTTCTCCTCCTTTCCCTGGCCTCCTCCTCCTCCTCCTCGTCATCCCCCCCCCCTCATATTCTGCGAGGTTGGCTTTCCAATGTTGTCGCTTAGGCGAGCGCGGTCTCGAGCATGCGCGCCCTCTTGCACGCTGGGAACTACGTCTACGTGGAGACGTCGAGGCGCTTGATCGGTGATCTCAGACTAGCTTCTGCGTCGTCGCCAGCCGCCGAATCTCGTGGGGGCAGCGGTGGCGACAACGACCCCGCTCCTGCTGAAGGTCTGGCCTACTGGATGCAGTCGCCAACGGGGGCCCCTTGGATTAGTTCCAGACGAAGTCCTTCCTCTACGGACACGCCCGCGAGATCGACGGCGAGACTCGCTCGATGAGGCCTCGTTTCCAAGTGCTCGTCGACATATTTTTCTCATGGCAGCGCTGAGCACGCAGACTATCTACAAGACGGCGGCCCCCAGGGTCGGCAGCGCTTGACTTGACACTTCGACCGGAACAACTCTTCAGAGATAGCGATCAAAAGTTTTAGCCGCAACGCCCCGGCGTGCGACGGGATCCCTACTTTCTTCGGCAGCCTCTACGAGTAGAGCCCCCCAGACTGGTGGCTCGACGATGCGACCGGCGCGATGCCGAAAGAGGTCGATGAGAAAGCGCCGCGCGCGTTCAGCAAGATCCACCGCGAACAGGTATCGGTCAAGCCCTTCGCCGTGATCGTCGGCCCCTGCCTCCCTACCCCAGCGACGGCCCCGACGTGGCCGAGGTCTTCGCCGCGTTCTGCAACCGCGTCGGCAGGCGCGTTTGCGAGCTTCGCACTGCGTCCTTCCTTCTCAATAGGATGAAGGTGATTTCCGATGCAGAAGTGGGCTTAGGAATGGTGCATGAGAGTGCCCTTTTTGAGTGCGACATCGCCGCGGCGTGCTTCCATCTGCCCCCGAGCATCGGCGCGGGCAACCTCGTGGCTCATGCGGATGTTGGCTACGAGAGCGCCGATAAGGGCGGCGCCGTGTTTGCTGGTCTCTCCCACAACAAGGCGTGCCAACACTTGCGGGGCTTCGCCAGGGCTGCCGCCCTCGCCGCCCTCAACATCCCAGGCGTGGCCAATCTGAGCGTGGAGGCGCCTTCCCCTGATGTCGCCTCCTGCGCCTTCGCTTTGGAGTTGAAGTGTTCCGTTGCTGACCTGATCGTTGCCGTTTCCGCAGCGCAGGCGCTCGGCGCCCAGTGCGGGGCCTCGGACGAGCAGAACTTAGCCGGGGAGTTTCTCTGCGAGGCCGTCGCGGGCGCGTGCGTGGCCTTGCAGGGCGCGGCGCTGCAGGTCGACGCGTTGGTCACTGATGTTCGCGCCGTCGAGTTCGAGAAGACGGGCTGGGTATTCACGGTGCCGATTGCTACGGTGCGCTCGGGGATCCAGTTGGTTGCGGTCTTCTCCGTGCGTTGCCTTGACGTCGTTTTCAATAATATGAAAGGGGCTCGCGGCCGCTCAGAGCGACGACCTGCGCGCCCTCGCTCCTCCCTGGAAGGCGTGCCCTGCCGTGGGCGGGCGCAGCGAACGCATGGCCAGGCAGGTGTTCCAAGGCAAGCTCGGTGCTCTTGCGGCGCGGCGCAGCGGGTTGCGCTCGCTCCTCAGCGGCTTCGGTCTGGTGGCCACTAGGCTCGAGATCCAGGGTCGCTTGCAAGACCATGAAATGACTGCTGAAGCGATTGCCATTGCCTTCGAAAGTCTTCGGTATTTTGCGTTCGCGAGCACGGTTGTCCAAGGGTTTGACTTGCTCGTCGCCTTCTGTGACCGCCCAGATGGCCCTGCGACGCGCACTGCTTTCTTGGAGAGTCACGAGGGCGAGAAGATCCAGCGCGCCATCCCATCGCAGTTCTGGCAGCGGTTCAAACAGATCCAAGTTCACGCTGCCGCCCTGTCGCCTTTTGTTTCAGCTGCTCCCGCGCTTGCTACGGGGGCGCCGGGCTCGGCCGCTGGGTCGACGATGGCGCTTTTGAAGCGCCCTCCGTCCGAGTCCAGTTTGGGGGCTCTTGGGCCGAAGGACTCATCGAGCTCGGTCGCAGGAAGCGAGGGTGCCGAGACCGCGGCCCCGTCGTCTGTCGGGCCTTTTAGCGGTGCCTTCAAGCGCGCCAGGCGGGTGTAAATCACCTGGGGGCCTGTCGACTTTTTTTTGTTTTGTTCCCTCCCTCTCTCTCTCTCTCTCTCTCTCTCTCTCTTTCTCTTTTCTCTTCTCCGAGCGTGTCGCGCGCGCAGGGTGGCTCGCCCGTGGCGCATGGATCACGCCACAAGCGCGCCACAAGCCAATCAGCTAGTGCTCGCGAGATGTGGTCGAGGCGTTGCAATGCATTTGTTCGTGTCGAGCTCGACGCTCGGCAAGTCGTTCGAAGACATGTTGGGTGCTATGAGCTTCCGCGCGCATGGGGTAAGCACAGAACTAAAGAGAGCGTGTCGCAATCCCTGGTCCTACTTGGAGGACCCTTTGACGTCGGCCTTCACTTGGTAAGTTGGCCTTCGTGATTGGACGCATTGAGCCTTGACGAGTCGCTTCATGGGTCCTTTCGGTCGTGGCGCTGGCACCCCAAGTAAGGTAACTTTGCAGACAGCCTGAGCCATTGCACGAACATGCACACCTTCAACTTTCCCACAGCAGAAATACATCATGCCACGTGTTGTGCATGCGGCGTATGTGATGCTGCGCATACATCAACAGCAGCACGCGTGTATGTTGTTACCGCCACGTTTGCTCTCATGCATTCACCCATCGTCTTTCGACACCCGCCCCATTCTGCATATCATTAGAAGCAAGAGGGTGAGGAGGAGGAGGAGGAGGAGGAGGAGGAGGAGGAGGAAGGGGTGGAGGTCGAGAAGGAGGAGGGGCAATGGGTCCAGGAGGGGAGCCAGCATCACGAACCCCCCCATACCCCCATGTAGTATCCTCCTCCTCGCCCTTCCTCTCTTCCTCCTCCTGCTCTTACTCCTTCCGTCCTCCCCATCCTCACTCCCCCCCTCCTCATCCCCCTTTCCTCTGCCTCCTCCTCCTCCCCTGCGCCCCCAAACTTTACTATGGTGTTAGGCCTTGCTTGGCCCATCAAGCTTGCGTTTCAGACGCAGATCCCGAAGTGTCGGCAAAACCAGGTTCCTGAAAAAGGTGTTGACGCGCCCCCCTGCCTGCACCCCCTGCTGTGAGTTTGGGGGGTCTATGCAAGGCAAGCCCCCTAGACGAACCCAACTCAGGATTTCCTTGGATTCTTGAGGACTCCTCCAGACTCTCTCAGATTCCGAAGGGTTCCTCAGGAACCATTCCGCGGGACCCCCGAGGATTCATCAGGATCCTCCAGGATTCCTCAGGCTCCTTCCGGAGTCCCCAGGACTCATCAGGATCCCCCAGGAATCCTTGGGATCCCAAGTGATTCTTCAAGATCTCCTCGTGGGGTTCTCAGGATTCCGTTGGGTTCCTCAGGATTCCGGAGGAAATCTTCGAATTCTTCAGGATCCCCAAGGATTCCTCAGGACATCAACGTTCCTCAGGATCCACCGTGTCTCCTCGTGACGCCTGCGGAATCATTCGGATTCCCCGATGGTTCGTCAGGATCCCCTCAGGGTACTCTTCAGGATTCTTCAGAATTCCTTAGCGTTCCCCAGGCTTCCCAAGGATTCCTCAGGACCCACGAGGATTCCTCATGATCCCCTGGGGATTCCAAAGGATCCCTTGAGGGTCCCCTAGTGACTCTTGGGGGGGTATGGAGGATTCCCGAGCTTTTCCCTTGCGCAATCCTTAGGGGTTTTTGACAGCTCCCCAGGCTTCTGAGGATCCGCTAGGGGGTCCTGCGGACCTCCCCCCCTCCCCTCCCCAGAAGGGGTCCTGAGGATGCCCTCGGGCCCTCGGGGCTCGTGGGGATGCTGTAGGGATTCTTGAGGATTCCCTCGGGGTTTCTGGGGATTTTCTAAAAGATCCTTGGTGATTCCCTCTAAGGGTTCCTGAGGATTTCTTAGGGATTCCTTCGGATTCCCTCGGGAGTCCTTAGGATGCCTTGGGGGGTCCTACGGAGTCCCTAAAGGGTTCTGGAGGATTCCCGATGGGGTTCCTTTGGGGAGTCCCCAGGCATCTTTGAGGGTTCCCAAGGGATTCTTGCGGATCCCCTATGGGGGTCCTGGGGATTCCTTAGGGGGTCCTGAGGATTCCTTCTGGGTTCCCGAGGATTCCTTTCGGGTTCCTGAGGATTCCCTACGGATTCCTGGGGATTCCCCGAGGGGGTCTTGGGGATTCCTTAAGGGTCTCCTGACGACATCCTCGGGATTCTTGGGGAATCCTTTTAGGGTTCCGGAGGGCTCGTTGCGGGTCTCCTGAGGATTCTTGTGGAATTCCTGAGGGGCCCTTAGGGTTTCTGGAGGATTCCCGAAAGGGGTTCCTTTGAGCTTTCCCGAAGGGGCTCCCGAGTATCCCTCAGGGGCTTCTGAGGATCCACTAGGATGTCCTGGGGATCCCCTAGGGGCTCCTGGGGATTAGGGGTTCCTGAGGGTGCCCTGAGGAATTCCGTAAAGGGATTCCCGAGGGGTTCATGAGGAAGTGCGCGCGCGTGTTTTTTTTGTTGTCATAAAAAAGGTTGCGACATCTCTTCGTTTTTCGAAACCAAAATACCAGTGCTCGTGAAGATCGCTCTCGAATGCTTTACGAAACCAGAGGTTTTGGACAGAACATTGCGCATCCCTCTCGACGGCGGCGGCGGCGCCGCCGCCGCCGTCGTCGTCGTGAGGGTCCTTGAGGGAGTCTCTAGCGTTTGTCAGGAGTTGTGAGGGTCACTGAGGGTATCTTAGCTGCACATGGGGCCAGAGAAGGGGGTAGCGCACGGGGGGCGTTTTCTGTGGAGGGAACAGCACAGATGACGGTGCACACGGGGCCGGAGTGTACGTTTGCCCACCGCGGCGCGACACCGCCGTTGATGGCCTCTCGCAGGGCCAGAGAAGTTGTCACACAGCGTCTCAGGACGTTGCCGGAGTGTGCGCCCGTCCACCGGGGGAGTGACACCGGAAGGTCCGGCCCTGCCCGGGGCCAGAGTGTACGCGTTTCTGCTGTTGCTGTTGTTGTTGTTGTTGTTGTTGTTGTTGCTATTGTTGTTGTTGTTCAGGTGCGCAGTTTCAGCACCGTGGTTGTCCCTCATAACCAACAAGGTGATATACTCGATACAAGCACTTCACTTGAGCAACGCAATGGGCACCAGTCGGTTGGATCAGCAAGAGAAAGTAGTCCATCATCACATGTTGGAGTTCGAGATCAACCATTACAACTTGTTGTTGGGAGCTTAATTTCAAACGCGCGCCCAAGGACAGTGTAACACTGTTCGGCCCCCTCATTCTGACTCGCCTCGTGTCCGTCACGTTTTGTTATTCAGCCACATCGCAATCACGAGTCCATGACCTTTTTTCCGCCATCTAGCAATCATAGTTTTTCATCCGTAATCGTCATCATGATGTATCATTTGCGTCCTCCTGGTGTGTTCCAGCCCGCGCCCATGTTGCGACCTGAATTTGCGCGCCTTCCCGCTGTTTCCTTCCATCGGTCATCGGCGCGGGAGCCGACGATAAATCATCCGCGCGTTTCTGGAATTTTTCTTCTCCATGAATCGCAGGAGTGGGATTGTTCACCTAAGGGGCAGCGGACTTATCTGTCAGCCTTTCCTGGTTGTCCTTCGTTGGAAACCAAAGGTCATCGGCGTGGAAGCCGACATGGACGCGGGCACCATCGGCTACTGGGCAGATGGCAAATACCTGGGCGTTGTGAAGGACGCGGGCTCGCTCCGTGCGCAGGGCAACAGTGGGACGGCCAGGGGGGGGGGGTGGATGGGGACAAATCAGCGGAGATCATCGAGAAAGAAGGGGCAAATCCGCCACACACACATATATATATATATGTATATACACACAATACATATGTGCACACGCGGACGTCCTGCAGTGGATTGTGCCTGGGCCTCAGGGGAGGGCGGCTGTGTATAAATCACCACTGGGAGCCAACGACTTTCTACGCCGCCGCCTTTGTTGAAGGTACATTCAAAGTTCGTCGGAGGGCGTCTGTGTATATATTTTCGTGACTTAGCGTAACCACACACACTTTCGGCGCTCCGCGCCGACTTCTTGAATCGGCGCCAGGCCCCCCCTGGCAGCGCCTCGGGCGCCGCCCATGGCGCGCTCCGCGCTCCAGGGAGGGAGCCCAGCGCCGATCCATGGAGTCCAGGCAGACTTCCGAAACATGTGTATATGTCGGGCCTTCATGTTTCTGTATCTATCTTGTGGTTTTGCTGCTCGATCTTACGGGATTCGCAAAGCTTTGTTTCACGCAGCTGTTTCCGGGGCCGCACGCCCTTTGGCTGCAACCGCCAGCGCCGTTGCTAGTTCGGGCCCCCATTATTGAGCTCGTGCGTCAAAAGCAGGACTGAGTTTGCCAACTGAGCCCCTTAGCAAGGGACTTGCTCGCATCCGAGTCTGCGGCTTCCTTTGGCAGCTCCGCGCCGCCGATACGTATCGCCATAAAGGGAGCGCATCCTGAGGACAAAAAAGTCGATGTCCACGGCCTTCTGAGCCACCAGCCCATCCTCTTTACCTCTCAATGTTTCCCGATGGTTCTTGCCGTCGGGCTTCACAGTATGTTTTGGGAGAAGCGCTGTTCGGTGGTCCCCGTTTCCCTCCCGGCACGGGCGCCAGGTCCCCTCGACAGGCAGCGCAATGTTCCGCTGCACTTTGTAATTTGTGGATGCCGCTCAATGATGCGTTGTTGTTTGGATGACTGCTTGGCTGTGCATTGACATCCAGTGTTATGTTTCGCATTGCATGGCACATCATCGCGTCGCACCTCATCGCGTTGTCCTGTACATGCAGGCCCCTGGCAATATCAACACCAATCTTTGAGGCGCGTTGGAGCCATGCTTGCCTGGGTGTGTTCGCGCCGCGCCGCGTTCTGGCAAACAACATTAGCCATGCGCCTAATGCATTTTTTTGAGTTGGACGTCGCGCATTGCCTCAGGAGTAGTATCAAAGACGCCTACGGCGAATCACTGCCGCCCCTGCCTTTTGAAATCGCCCATGTGGCCGAGTGTTGTGTTAAGAGCTCTGCCAAGCTATCGGGCCATGTGTTCCCCCAATCGTCGTGGAAACCCTTCGGGGAACATGCGGGGGGAGAGGGCGGGGAAGATCAGGATGAGGAGGAGGAGGAGGAGGAGGAGGAGGAGGAGGAGGTGAGCAGGAGGAGGAGGAGGAGGACGAGGAGGAGGAGGCGGAGGAGGAGGAGGAGGAGGAGGAGGAGGATGAGGAGGAATGGGGCATATTGGGAGCCTATCGGGGCACTCTTGGGGCCGCCTGGGAGCTTCATGGGAGCCTCTTGAAGGCATCATGAGGGCCCCTTTGGGCCTCTTTCTAGCCTTTGGGGGCTTTTCGGGGCCTCGTCGGCAGTCTCAGGGCATTCCTGGCCCGTCCGACGCCGTCGGAAGCCGTCTTGGGGGCTTCTCTAGGCCGACTTGAGTCCCTCTTGGGGTGCTCCAGGGCCGTCTTGGAGGCCATCTTCGGCGTCTTGGAGGCCTCCTGGGCCGTCTCGGGGTCCTCTGGGGGCCATCTTGCCGTCTTGAGGGCCTCTTGGGCCGTTTTGGCGCCATCCAGGAGACGTTTTGGGCGATCTTTTGGGGCTCTTGGGCCGTCTCGGGCCGTGGGAAGGCCGAACAGAAGAACTGCCACAATCCTTCAAACACCTTAGGACAATCAATGATTTTGTCATCTTCGGGCCTTTTTGGAGGCCCTCTTGGATGACTCTTGGGCCGTCTTGGAGACTTTTTGGGCGCCTTTGGGGCCGTCTTGGGCCATCTTAGGGCCATCTTGGGCTGTTGGCCCGTCTGACGCCGTCGGAAGCTATCTTGAGAGCCTCTCTGGGCTGACTGGGGCCCTCTTTGGGGTGCTCCAACGCCGTCTTGGAGGTTATTTTGGGCGTCTTGGAGGCCTCTTGGGCCGTCTTGGGGCCCTCCTGGGGCGGTCTTGAGGGCCTCTTGGACCGTTTTGGGACCATCTTGGAGGCCTCTTGGGCGATCTTTGGGGGCTCTTTGGGGACTCTTGGCCCGTCTCGGGCCGTCGGAAGACCGAACTAAAGCAACTGCCCTGCCAAGATTCTTCAAACACCTCAGGACAATCACTGATTTTGGCATCTCCGGGTCTTCTGGAGGTCCTTTTGGAGCCTCTTGGGCCGTCTTGGAGGCCCCTTGGGAGCCTCTTGGGCCGTCTTGGGCCATTGTGAGGGTATCTTAGACAGTCTTGGGTGCATCTTGGGCCGTCTTGGAGGCATCTTGGGGCCATCTTGGCTGTCTTGGAGGGTACCTTCGCCGTCTTGGAGGCATCTTGGAGGCCATATAGGGCCATCCTGGCCGTCTTGAGCATGTTTGTTCGGCGAATTTCCGCGCCTTGCGGACCCTTCCGGGTGGCCGGCGGGACGGGCGGGGAGCTCTTTTGGAAAAGAACCCCTGTGATAAATCAGCAGGGGGCGGCGGATACTTGTGGCCTTTGGCCCATCCCGCCACCGTGCCTGGGTTGTGGGTGGAAGGCCTATTGCATGTTCATTGGGATTTCTTGGGGGGCCTCTCGGGGGCCTCTTGGAGGCAGTTTTGAAGCCTTCTGGGAGCTGTCTTGGGGACTCTTGGGGCCTCTGCCTCCTGGGGCCTTGTGGGGGCTTCTTGGGCGCCTCGTAAGGCCTCTTGGGCACTTTGGGCCTCCTCAGGGCCTCTTCGGGCGGAAGGCTCAGATGTTCGATTCGTGCTCCCTGTCTTGGGCCCCTTTCGGGGCAGTCTTGGGGCCCTCTTCGGCCGTCTTCGGCGCCTCTTGGACCGTCTTGAGGCGCTCTTAAGCCGTCTTGGGGCCCTCTTGGGGGCCTCTTGGGCCGTTCTGGGGTAATTTTGGGGACCTAGTGGGCCGTCTTGGAGCGTCGGAAAGCTGAACAGGCCAGGACGCCCAAAGAAAGTAGTCAGTACTAGCGCCCCCGTCGCCTTGTACACTGTTGCGTCGCCTTCCCTCGAACAGAGGGTTGACGGCGCCCGTATTGACATAATTGTGTTTTCGCAGCTACCTTCACTGCCAGGACAAAGTCGCGCGCGCGCCCGCCCTCCCTCCGGTCGGCTGGCCGGCACGCGCGCACATGGTCTACTATAGCAGACTCGCTTGCTGGACATTTGCGCGCTATGTCGACGGGGGGTTCGCCCACCCTGAGGTTCAACATGAGGTCGATGCTGGACCATATACATGCAAATGAAGAACAACCCTATCATTATAAGCCAATGCCTACGGAGATGGACCTTCCTAATTTTGATGCCACTAGGCAAAATGTTGGTTATCAGCCGAAATATTCACCACGAGGTTCCGCGAGTGCGTCCCAAGCCTCGGAGGTGTTCAAACCAAACAGGAACGGGATAATGACGGACCCGAACAAGTACAACCAACTAGTGAAACAATCAGGCCCCGTATCTCCCGTGCGTCGACAAGGCGAACCAATTTTGGGTAAAATGACCCTCGCGAAGGCGTCCAGTGACTGCGTGATCGGCGCCGTCGCGGGTCCTCCGCAGAGTCAGCAGGCCAGATTCCGCTGGCCGCGCGGGTTCGTTATCGAGCCGGGGCACGGGCCACCGAGACGCCGTGGGCGGATCAGCCTGCGGAAGAGGAGGATGCAGAGCGGCGCGGCAGTCGGGGGCCTCCGCGGCTTCCTTTCCGGCATCGAGTAACCGAGCCCACGTGATCATTTCTGATTCTTTCGTCTCGGGCGGCGCGAAATCTGTATCTCAGGAGGCCGATGCGCCGGTTAGGTCGACGCCGCCCCCGCGACGCGGGAAGATCAACCCGGCGCCGATGTTTCGAGCATCTGCGATGCCAGGCCGACGCCCGGGGCTGGAAATATGGGCGTGGGCAAGACGGGCCCGCGGCTGCGTGTGGCTCTGATGCCGCAGCCTTTCGCCCCGACCCATTCGCCGCTGCGGCGGGCGACCGCGCCGCGACGTCAGAGCGCGAATGTTGGAGATTTCCTTTCTGCTGACAATTTTATGCTGAAGGCAGCTGTGCCTGGGAACTCGAGCGGGCTGGCGCGTGAGCAGCCTCGACCGTCCATTGACTTCTCGGTCGCCTCGCCGACGGGGGGGCGATCTGCGACTGCTGGGGGCCCTCGTGATGCGTTGCTGCGCGAGCTTGGGGGCGACGAGGGAAACTGCGTCCTCGACTTGCCGGGGCCCTCGACCCGCCCGCGCGAGCAAAGCCGGGGAGAGAGTCTCGCGTGGAGTTCCGCCCAGCGGCCCGCCCCTCGCGCTCGCTCCCGAGAGGGATTCGCGCCGACGGCGCGCGGCCGTGCCAGTGGGGCCCCTTTCTGGCGCATCGATCTCGTCGGCCCGCGCTGCCGGGCCAAGCGCCTCGAGCGCGCGGGTCAAAGAAGAGCCCCGCTCCAAGTGCGGACCGAACTGCGCGCGGTTCGCTGAGAGCCTGAGAGCTGCTGCCCCAGGAACCACGGCCGACGCATGAAGCCCGCTTGCCGCGGATAGTTACTCGTATGGCTGCGGCGTTTGCAACCTCGTGATTTTCCGCCCGGAATGCCTCGCGCCGGCGGCCCGCAACTGCGCGGCTCTACGCGGGCAGGGGCGGGGAGGCGCGGGGGAAAAGAATCGCAGGGCGGCGATCGCCGAGAGGGGCTTCGAGCTGAAGCGCGCGCGGGAGCGACTGGCGCGGACCGAACTTCAGCGGCGAGCTGCCGCCCGCCTGCAGTCCGGAGCAAACCG